ACTTATTATTGTTGTTGTTGTAATTAGCGTGAACAGATCAAAAACCTCATTAAACAAGAAAATAATTACATCCAATGAGCATAGAGGCAGTCAACAGCCGTATGATTATATCGCGTTTATGTTTCTGTTTTAACCGCTTTGATAACGCCACTAATTAATGGCCCTCGCCGGAAATTTGTTTAAACCGCATCTGCCGACGAGAAGTACCGAATAGTTAAAAGTTATGTCATAACTGATTTCCGTTTTAGGGACCCAGTTGTAAGTGACGAATGTAACATCCTAATCAACTGTTCATTAAATAAAACAGTCGATGAAAAATGGGCTACACAAGTTCACTTGAAAAGCGCCCTGCGCTCGCCAGTAGGAGAAATGTTGTTCTCTTCTATGGCAACGCAAGGCCACATTTATCACGGATAACACCGGAAAAAAGTTGGGAACTCGGTTGGTCTGTTCTATGATAACATTCATATTCATCTGACGTAGCGGTTATTACCTTTCTCGATCATTGCAAATTGCTTTGATGGGAAAAAAGTCCTTTATTGAAAACTAGGTTGAAGAGAAAACTAGGCTCACACTATAGATGAAATCGTCTTATAGACGTGTATATACGGTAAAATTTGTTTATTTTTTGAAAAGTAAAACTTGTACTTTATTTTTTGAAGAGTAAAATTGCTTCTTTCTTTTTTAGAGTAAAGTATGCACTTTATTTTTGAAGAGTAATTTTTTTTTATTTTTGAAGAGTAAAATTTGTACTTTATTTTCTGAAAAGTAAAACTTGTAATTTATTTTCTGTATAGTAAAACTTGTACTTTTTTGAAGAGTAAAACTGTTTCTTCCTTTATTGAAGAGTAAAGTTTGTACTTTATTTTTGAAAAGTAAAATTTGTTCTTCATTTTTTGAAAAGTAAGACTTGTACTTTGTTTTTTTGAAGAGTAAAATTTGTTCTTCCTTTTTAAAGAGTAAAGAGTGTACTTTAGTTTAGAAAGATTAATTTTTTTTATTTTTGAAGAGCAAAATTTGTACTTTATTTTTTGAAGAGTAAAATTTCTACTTTATTTTTTGAAGAGTAAAATTTCTACTTTATCTTTTGAAGAGTAAAGTTTGTACTTTATTTTTTGAAGAGTAAAGTTTGTACTTTATTTTTTGATATCCTTCTCTGTCGTTCTGCCATGCATTCCCTCACACATTAAATAGGTTACTTGATATTTCTAACACTTCTTTTTTTATTTTACTGAATGTTCACCCAATATAAGGCCCAAGAGCCATTCAAGATAGAGTGATGATAAATTAGGTTTTTGGATGGACGTAAGACGAGGGGAAATAAGTTCCGATTATGATGATACGTACAATAAGTACCGGTTGACCCCAGACTTGTAGAGGTTAAGGTTGTAATGTTTGGGGAAGCAATTGCTTGGAGGCCTGTTCTATAAAGTAGCGGAAAGAATATGTTTGAATGGAACTTCCTCTTTACTAATGGAATACGAAGTGGATGAGAATTGTTCGCCTCTGTGTGTATGCCATAGCGGGTCTGAACTGGTGTAGGGTTTGAGCCCTTCTCTTGCCTTCAATACGTTTTGTAAGTGTTAAATTCTCTAGGCCTTCTGTCCTCATTAGTGACACTACTAAGATCAATAAATATCTATGTCGTAGACACTTGCTTTTGTTCTTTCATCGCAAGTTTAAAATTTCTGAAGTCAACATGCATGACTATAAAACAAATCTAATTTTTTTAAAAAAGCGGTTAAATTCAAAACCTTCTATTATTTAAGATATACAATATATAAATTATAAAAGTCAAACTTTATTTAATCTACGGGGGTAGGCTGTTCTCGTTCCACTGCTCATTAGAGCAGGTCGATGTTGGAACCGTGGTATTGCACTCAATTCGAAACCTGGGTTTGATATGATAAATGTCGGCACAAAATATTTTTTCCAAATCGTTACCGCTTTTTGAGGAGACGAGTTTAAAAATTAAGTTTAGGTTCAAAATTGTAGCGTTGGAATATAATTCCTTGCGATCAATGAAAGCCTTTATAACACAGCCTTATAAAATTTATAATTTACTGAGGCTTGAGCCACTAAATGTAATTCACACTGTTTATAAAATGGGCCATTCATCTCAAACATGAATATCCAAGTGAATAATATTTAGTTATTTTCTTTATAATGTAATTATATATATATATATATATATATATATATATATATATATATATATATATATATATTATTTTATATCTGCAGCATGAGTGAAACGCTCCAATATCAGCGATAGATAGAGCAATATTATTCAGATCGATAAATTGTCAAGAACACCTCCACCTGCTTTCCTTATTAAAAAGAAACATCGCCACATATAATAAAAGCTAAAGGTCCGACACCAAATAGAATTACAACTTGCGTATGGGGTATGTGCCCGAACGTATGGATTGCCTAGCCCTCCAGATTGTTTATATGATGTGCTTGTGTAGACTAAAATGATACGTACACCTGTGTGTGTGTGTCTATGTGATGATTATCATTCCAAAAACAAACTACAAGTAAATTCTCCCACCCATCAACAAACATAGCCAAACAAGCATAAATAGATCCAGTTTTCAAACTAGTTTTTGTCTGATGATCGCAAAAGCGTGAAACCAGAGTCACAAACTCTTATCCATACAACTGAATATATATATATATATATATATATATATATATATATATATATATATATAATTACATTATAAAGAAAATTCTATAACAACAATAACAGCATTTACTGACTTTCATTTATTAGACATTAAATTATCACTTAGCGTCCTTCATAATTTAACTTGACTTTCACTTTGCTTAATGTCTATTTAAAAACACGTCTAGGACCCGCCATGCCACTTCCATAGTAGCAAACCACCCACATTCTCCCCGTATTCCATCGGCGAGAAGTAAGTTCTACTCGAACAGTTTCTTCCTGCGAACCACTGCCCTGTGGAATTAACTTACAATAGGATGCTTCAAGGCTAGGGTTAATCGTTATCTTCCTACCAGCCTGTCCATATAAACTACCCCTTATCGTAACCGTAAACCACGTGTAGCTTTCAGGCCTTGTACAGGGTAATCCTTACTGTAAAAAAAAAAATAAAATAAAATCCTTACATTTGCCTTGATAAACTCCATCAAAGGACGAAACGCGTTGGCTAAGATTTCGTTTTTAATAATTTTTAGGTAGGGCTTCCCTGAGATATGAAACTATTTCAAGGCTAAAAAGGTCGAGAAACGCTGCTGTGGACACAGAAAGTGAACGGCGGGTACTCGTAAATAATGTAATAAAGGAAGCAAAAAAAATGGTCATAATCAAAATGGACAACCCAAGCAGTGAGCAACAAATTGGTGGTCTAAATCAGACAAGCACAGAATTCTTACCATCCTGAAGTATACTTTCTGTGTCTGCTACCAAAAATGGTATCATCTGCGTATCTTATGTTGTTAAAAGTTTGGCCGCCATTAATAAATCCTGGTGGGACACCTAGTTCTCTTGGAATCGTCTCGCTACTCAGACGTAAAGTTCAACCAAAATTGTTGAGGAAAGGTATGAATGCATCTCTTTACCCCCAGCTATGGGTTAATTAGTATGCGCAGTACTAGTAAAGCATTATTATCTCCAAAACAATTGTTACAATTTGAAAATATTTTCTGGCTTTATGTAACCTGCAAGAGGTTGATAAACCGTAAAAAATAGTCAATCAATCAACAAGAGAAGTACTCACAAGGAAGTCTGTGCCACAAATACGTCCTTTCTGTTTTCTTTCTTTGTTTGTGTTATTCTTTATTTCTGTTTTCTTTCTTCGTGTTTTCTTTCTTTTCTTCCTTCTTTCCCTCCTTCTTTACTTCTTCTTCTTCCTTGTTTCTCTTTGAGTTTTCTTTCTGTGTTTTCTATATCTTTTTTATTTCTTTCTTTCTTTGTGTTACTCTTTCTTTCTTTCTTTCTTTCTTTTTGTATATTTCTCTTCTTTGTGTTTTCTTCTTTCTTTCGTTTTTTTTAGATTTTTGTTTCTTCCTTTAGTTTTTTGTTCTTCCTTTTAGTTGATTGTTCTTTTTGTATTAACTCTTTTATTCTCTTTTGTTACCCTTTCTTTCTTTTTTTTTTTGTTTCCTTTCTTTGTACTTTCTTTCTTTCTTTATGTTACTATTTCTTTCTTTTTGTTTGTTTAATTTCTTTCTTTTTTTCTTTCTTTCTTTCTTTTTTTGAGTATTTTTTCTTCGTATTTTCTTTCTTTCTTTGTAATTTCTTTCTTTTTTTTTTATTTCTCCTTTCTTTCTTTTTTTTTTTTTTGAATTTTTTTTTCTTTTTCTTCCTTTATTTGCGCTTTCTTTCTTTATGCTTTCTTTCTTTGTGTTATCCTTTCTTTCTTTCTTTTTGTTACCCTTTCTTTCTTTTTCCGCGGTTCTTGGGGAAAAAGCAACTGGAGTGGAAATTTTTCTTCCCTGTTGGGCCATGCCTTCCCCGGCGCAACACTCTACCAGCTCAGAGTGTTACAATAAATTTTCTCTCGTGTCTTTGCTACTGGTAATTCATGGCCTTGTGCCAGACCAAGCTAACCCCGGGAAATATCAATAATGCAGGGATGTTTGAAGAAAGAAAAAAACCTAGTAAGTTTCGTGCAGAGGTTTAAAAAGCCAGAACAAAAGGAACGGACAAATAATTTGGCCGCCGGCAACGGCACTCGATTTGAAAGAATAATAAATAAATCTACGATGACTGCCCCACCAAACCACCAAACCCCCAAGAGGCTTTCGCAATGACGAACTATCGGACCGCTTACTGATGATGGAAAGAAATGCTTGATTGTGGCCCAAGTGCCGTCGGCGAGAAAACTGTTGCTTCGTTTGGGCAGCACGTCAAACTCGAGATAGTGGCGTTCGTATGAAGAAAATCAGAAGAATGGAAGAGACGTCCTCGACCCTCACCCGCGCTACAGCAACAAAAAATGGATTGGAGAATGAGTTTTGATGGAAAAAAATTAAGGAACAAATAGAAGAAAGAAATGAGCGAAAGAGAAAATCAACAAAGAAAAGAACGAAACTTTAGTGCATGAATAAGACAAAATTGATTGAAGAGGAAGAATTTTCGAAAAAGAATCTAGAAGAAAAGTAATGTAGGCTAGGAAGAAGTTTAAAGAAAAAGAAAGAAAGAAAATAAAGAAAGAGAGAAGTCTATGGTTTGAAAGAAAGAAAGAAAGAAAGAAAGAAAGACGTATTTGGTTAGAAAGAAACAAAGAAAAAAAACAAGAAGTCTATAATTAAAAAAACAACTAAACAAAGATGTTTATGATTAGAAAGAAACAAACAAACAAAAAGCAAAATGTCTATGGTTTAAAACAACCAGAAACAAAAGACCGTTTATGGTTGAAAAAAGAAAGAAAAAGCAAAAGAAAGAAGCATGGATTGAAAGGAAAAAAACTGACTTACTGCTATATGTCTAAAAAACTTAAAAAAATTCTCCAGAGTAATGGAGGGTGTATATATATATATATATATATATGTGTGTGTGTTTACACACACATGGGTGTGCTGAAAAGTCCACAACCTGACCACCCCTGCCCCCAAAAAGTACTTTGATGTTTGCACATTAAAATATTAACTTTTTGAAGTGGATGGTGAAGACTTTTCCGCACCCATTTATCACAAATATGTGTGCATGTATTTTGTGAATGGGTGAACAAAAGGCATAAAAGTGATTTAATATTGAGGCCAACAGGTGTTTACAGTGTGTGGAATCAATCCACACATCTACATCTGCTCAAGTGTAAGTGCACAGGCATATGTGAATGCAAGAATATAGGTGAGTACATGTGGTGCCCTGGTTAGGGATTGGTAACTTATCTGCACACATATGTACGTGTGTGCACAGAGAAACACGTTACTGGAGCCATCATCTGATTGTGATGTTGAACATGTTCAGGAAAAAACAAAACCAAAAAGTACTTCACAGATGGCTGACAAAATGATGTTGTCTAAAAAAAGGCATTCCCAATGAATTTTCCTGAAATCGCTTGGTTCACACTCCTTCCCAGTTTTTTTTTTTTATTATTACACAGGGTAGAGATTTATCCCTAGGTCCCACCACCCTATTTTGGATTGGGTTTTCAGTTTCTTTTAAAATCTTTTCAATGCTCTACAACTCCCAGTAGCCCTTGCATCTTAGTGCCATTATCGCTTTGCTTGTAGCAAACTGATGTAAAAAAAAAAAAAAAAAAAAAAAAAAAAAAGAGAGCTGTTTTTCGGAAATTCTTTCAACTCAAGCTTTTTAAGAAAATGTAAAGATAAAGAAGATAAAGAAATTTTGGTTTGGGAACTAAATTCAAGTGTGAAAATGCATTGGTTGAAATTATGAAACTGTTTTCCTAAAGAGCAAAGTTTTACTAAAAAGCTTTTGTCAAGAGACAAGGCCAGAATTTTTTTTAAAAACTACTATTCACCCAATACAAAGGCCTAAATGCTACTAAGGGTAGAGGGCTACTGAATGGGGGACGTTGTGTGTTCAGAGAGGGTGAGGATTGCATATAAAGAACATATGTAAGTGAGATGATCTGTTGACTCTAGCCTCGAAGAGGTTAAGATTAATGGAAGCATCTCCTCAGGAAACTGATCCACATTACAACAGTTTCTGGAGAAGATGTTTTGGAACTTCCTCCTTACCAATGGAATATGAAGGGAATGAGGATGTGTTAACTTGGTGTATTCAACATGGCAGGTCCTAGCTATGAAGGTCTGGACTAGAAAAGCAAAAAAATAGATCACCTGAATATCAGCCATGAAAATAGTGATAAAATAGGAAAGAACCTAGTAACATTTCGTTTTGAGAAAAGGGGTTATAGGTAGAAAATATACAAGACTGAGTCACCTACATTATAAAAACACAAGATATAAATAGTGTAATTATTAAATAGATTAAAAAATATAGACAGTTTCCTCACAGATGAATATGAGATTTGGGGAAACAGATGGGGTTCTACAGGAGAATGCAAAAGAATACCATGGATGGAACATGTGAGCAGCAAGGAAGTTTTAAAGAAAAGGAAACAAAAAAGGACATACTTAGAATCAGACAAACCATTGAAATTTCTGGGATACATTATGAAGAAAGAGGACATGGAGAACTTGACACCCACAGGACACACTGAGGGCAAGACAGGGACTGGGAATTACAGTAAGGGAACAAATACTGCTTATAGCTATGAAGACTAGAAAGTTGTGAAGAGCAATGCCATGATTGTCCCTACCATGAAGGGATATGACACAAGGAAATCACATGCAACAACCCTGTTTTGTCACATGTAGGGCAAATTATTAAACATTTTTTTTTCTTTGTTCGTGTGTCCCTTCAAGACATTGGCAATCATGACCCTCCACATGTTAAGAGCCATGATTTTTCTTGGGAGTGATAATAGGATAGTTTTCTGTTGCCTTCTCCATGGTGATTTATTGAGACACCACCTCTAGTTAACAAGCTGTTGACTTCGCCTAGAGTTCTGCCCTTTGATAGGACTTGTTTTTCATCCTACAGCTATTTAATATTTATTTGCAGACAGTTAAGACAATATGTTCTAAAAATAACTAAGTATTTAATAGTTACTTACAATTCTTTAAGATTTGCAAATGTGAAAAAAAACTGCTTCATCTATTATAGTGATTTTGTTGCAGCTAACATCCCTGAAAAAAAAAGAAAAAACCAATAGTTATTAAAACATCTGAGAGAATTTTTTTTTCTAAAACTTCAGTTATCTACATACTTGGAAATTAAGTTCTTTATTCAAAAATCTTGTTGATCTATCATCATTTATGTACAGAAGCCTATAAGTATAATAAAACAAGACACTAACTGACCCCCCCCCTACATAAAAATATACAAGAAATTTTGTTTGCTTATTGGCAATAAAAATATAGAACTGAAGAAGCTTGTAAAAGATGAATTGCTTTAATATAAAACTAAAAGATTATCTTAATGAGCTACTATAACAAAATAGTTTCATTATCTGTATGAAAGAGATAATTTTAAAGAAAAATCTAAATGATGTGGTGTCCTCAAAAAAAGCACATTTTTTATATACTGTTTGGTGCCATATTATGAAAAAGAAAAGAAGATTGTTTAACAGCACATAATTTCTGAAATTTAATTTTCTTGAGATTTGAAGTAATAAAAAATATGATATATGTTATTCTGCTTTCACAGTTGAATACATGGTAGATGATACTCAGCTTTTATGCCTATACATGATTACTTTCTAAAGTGATGTGTTTTATATTGAAGTTATATTTTTGGAAAATTGCAGGATATTATATGGATTAATGTAATGAAAGAATTCTTTCATGTTAGTTGTTTTGTTTAGGGGTATGTCAACTGCTATGGGTTATTTAATGCTGAAATATAAATTTGAATGCAATTGTATGCCTTCAATTACAGATAATATGTATTGCCTTGCTCTTTTATATTTTTATAGCGTTTGTTTTAGTCTGGGGTTGGGGTCACTATTTGCCCTATAGCTTGACCCCCAACACCCTGGGGAGCAGCTGCAATTAAGAAGGAGAGAGGTACAGAGAGAGATTTCATTCAGAGACAGAAGAGATTGAGAGAGAGTCTTGTCAGAGAGAGATTTTTTGTCTGTAGAGATTTTTTTTAAGTGTTTGAGAGGTGTGAGAGAAAAAAAATAGAGAGAGAGAGAGGTGTAGAGAGAGAGAGAAAGGTGTTGAGAGAGAGAGAGGGTGGAAAAAAAGAGCTCTTGCAGGTAGAAATCATGGAAATTCTCTACAAATAAAATTTATAACAGCACTTCTCAACCCCCCATCCACATTTTTCTTTTTTTTTTAATTCTTTACCCAAGACACCAATGCCACTGACTACATCAAAGAACAAATAAATAGATCTATATAATTCTAGCCAATTTGGGCACCTCGAAGGAGTGTAATGGTTAGCAAGCTTGTCTCTCTAGAAAAATTACAACTAGTGAGTTTAATCCTCACTGAGTGCTCCATACTTTCAGCGTTGTGCCACATCTAAGCTACGCTTGAAAATCACTATATCCTAGCCAATTCTTAATGAAATGAAAGTCACTATACAAAATTAGATTGATGGGTCTTACTTTCCACTCCAAAATCATCTCCCATCTTTTGTGAAACTGCCTACCAAGAAGTTGCTTCCCTGATCACTACAATCTTCACCTGTTCAAGTCTTGGGTTAACTTATCTTCACACATATCGACATAAAGCTGTGTCTCTTACTCTGTGACCCTCTACCTCGAGTGGTATGAGGACTTTCAAAATACATTTGAGTGAACACTGATGTAAAAAAAAAAAAAAAAAAAAAGTATGTTGTAGATATTTTTTTAATGACAGAAAACTAAGAGAAAGTGAGCTTTATTACTCCCACGAAGGTGGATATGTCTTTTGGCAATTAAGTTCTTAATGTGTTGATTTTTTTGTAACAGTGTGGGCCTCAAGTCTGGGGTCCACATGGTAACAAGATTCAGTATTAGTTTTTCATGTTGCATATTGTCGAAAAACCCACCCGACAGATGTAATTGGGAAATGGGAGCAAAATGTTCAGGGCCATTTTTTACCGATTTTTGGGTCATGTGCACATGTCTATTTAGTATTGAATGCACTGTTTTTTTATACCCTAATTTTTTCCCTTCTTTCTTTTCACAAAGCGCACAAAAGATTCTGACAATAAAAGTTGCTTTTATACATTTTTTTGTGTGTGTGTGTGTGTGTGTGTGTGTGTGTGTGTGTGTGTGTGTGTAGAGGTGTCAAGTGTCAATTACGTATGAAAATTTGGGGCTGTACCAAGACAACTTCAAACCCCATTTTACCCAAATCTGGACAATTAACCAGAGTTTGAGAACAGCCAAAAAAAAAATCTCCTTTTCAAAAGAGGTGTCCATTTTCTTTCAATCAGGCATAGGAGAAAATAATAGAATGTGTTAATCTATTTATATGTGCTACCATCAGAAGCAACTATAGAAGTAGTGATCCAGTATAAAAAGATATTCTATTAGAGAATTGTTCTGGGAAATTACTTTTACAAAGCAGACAATTTTATTGTCTGGACATTTATAAAAGAACTTAAAGTCTTACACTGAATGGTAACAAATGGTAATTGTTATTTCTAAAAAATATTGCCATATAATGAAACTGATATCTACTACTATTTTGAAGAAAACCTGTTTTTTTTGAAAAAAACCAAAAAGAAACATTTTTTTTAAACTGCAAAAAAAAAAGGAAAAAAGAAAAAAAA